CGGGCGCCGCTCGCCGCCCTCCACGTTGCCCGCGGGCGCCCCAGCGGCTTCTCCGCCAAGGAGCGCGCCGAGGAGGGCGGCGACGCGGAGCACCGCGTCATCGGCGAGCGCATCGAGGCCGCCGCGAGTCCGCAGGAGCTCTTCCGACTGAGCGAGCTGCACTCCCTCAACAGCAACCAGGCCTCGCTGGTCATCGCGCAGCTCTCCCGCCTCGCCGCCGAAAAGCACCTGGAGGCCGAGGGGATTGTGCAGGACGAGCGCTTCGAGCAGCTCTTCGCCATCGTAGACTCCCAGGTGAGTGTCCTGCTGTGACACAGAAGTGTCTGGGGAGGCAGCAGCTTCAGGAAGCCCTCCGTGATCCCGCGTGTGCGACTGGCTTTCCTGGGAGCCAGGTGGGTGTTCAGGATTTGGGCTGCTCCTTTCCCATGGGAAGAGGAAGGGACCAGCTCCATCGCGAATGCCCCATTCATTCTTTCCAAAAGCAATACTTTCTTTTTGCGTCATGGCCAAAACAGAGCAGAGGAGAACAGCTCCATTCCCGCTACGTTTCATTCCGCTCTGCTTATTCCCAACCTTTGCAGCCCCGTCAAATTCGGTGCCATCCTCTGTGGTTGGTACTGGCCCAGTTGGCTGCCACATTAATCGCTGTAGCTCCGGAGCCCCAGCTCTCCCTCACCAAGCGCTGGGGACGAGAACACCCTGCGGACACTTTTCTTGCTCCTCATCCGTGCTGAAATACCTGTTCCCTAAAACCTGCCAGAGGATTCCAGGTGGGGTTTGTCCCTAGGGTGCTGAAATACTTCCATAACTGCTGCATTTTAATGGATTTAAAATGCATTTTCTTTTTATTTAAATGCATTTTAAATTTTTTTTAATGGATTTTAATGCATTTGAATTTTCCTGCCCGGGCTAATCTGGTGTGGGATTTTTTCCACTGCGGGAGCCTTTTGCAGCTCCTCGGAGCAATCTGCTCATCCCTGTGGGATGGGGGGTCCCGGCCCCCATCCGGCCCCATCCCCAGCGTCTCCTGAGGGATCGGCCTTGCTGGCAGAAGTGCTGGAGATTTGACAGGCTGGAAAACTGAAGCCTTTGCTTTGCTGCACGTCCTGCTCCGCGTGCTGCGCGGCCTCGTTTGCCTCCGATTCCGTAACGCTTTCTGAGCAGTGCTGTGAAGGGACCCTTCAGAACTGATGTTTTCCTGTGGATTTAGTCGGTTACGGGAATTCATGGAGCTTTGGGACTGGGAATTCTGTGTGACTGCGTTTGGGTTTGGGTGCAAATAGCCTAATGCTAGAACTGAGCTGGAAAATGGTGGAAAACCTCGGGAAAACCTTCGCTCACGAGGTCTGGCGTGTGAACACGGGCCAGGTTTGGAGGCTCTAGAGGGGTCCGTGACCTTCAGGTCTCCTTGGCCCTCCCTTGCTCCCTGTGAGGAGGAGGCCTCGCTCATCCTGCGGCGTTGGCATCACAGGGAACACGTGTGGAATGGGGAAGAGCGGCCTCGCAGCGGGGGACGGGGCCTCCTTTAGAGGCATCGGGGAAAACCGAGGGCTTTTTAGCCAAGAACCTCTCCAAAACGCTCCTCCTCTGGAGAGGGAGCAGTGCCCTCTCCATGGAGACAAGGCCACGGAGAGTCCGGCTCCTCGGAGCTCCTCAGGTTTCTTGTCCCGGGTTATCCCTGCTTCCCAGAGTCATTCATTTGTCACGGTGACTGTGTCTGAGTGCCTACACCTCCAGAGAAGGGTAAACGCTGCCCGTCTCGCCCGGCGAGTCGTCCTTCTCGAGGGCAGAGCGAGTTTATGGCGCGCGCGGCCCATAAACGCTGCGCAGTTCACACCACGGGCTGTTCCTGCGGGCTGCGCAGGTGTCTCAGGTGTGGAACAACACCCTGGTGAAGCTCCTGAGGAGCCTCTACGCGCTGGGGCTGGACGGCGGCCGCCGCGAGGTGCAGTCCATCGAGCACGAGGTGCTGTGGCGGCTGCGGCGCCTCGGCTTCCGGCAGCTGGCGGCGCTGGCCGAGCTGCTGGCGCTGCGGCAGGGCAAGGACAGCAAGCTGCTCGGCGAGGTCATCCGCAAGCTGGAGCTGCGCTGGACCGAGCTCGAGGGCACCAGGACCGTGGTGCTCCTCATGGCCAAGGTGGGCCACGTCTCGCCGGCCCTCATGGACCGCCTGGAGGACAAGGTACGCACCCAGCCTCCGCTTCCCACCTCTGTTTGTTCCCACTGGGCTTTCTGCAGGCAGTAAAAACATATATTTTATATATTCTAGCCCTCTGGAAGCCCTTTAACCTCCTAGGCCCTGTTCGCCGCTAAGCCAGACTAATTTGGTCCCGTTTAAGCAGCTTCCGAGCGCAGTTGCTCTGAGAGGAGTTTCCACTGGGGGCACTCGGCTCATGCCAGCCTGAGCTCCCGCTCTTTATTCCCACTCTTTATTCCTGCTGCCGTGTATGGAGCCAGGAAAAAGTGGCTGCCCCAAATGTGGTGCCTTTGCTGCACCCCAAGAGTTAGGCTGTGGTGGGAGCTGGAACAGAGTTAAAACCAGTCTGGTTTTCAAGGTTTGGGAGGCAGGGGAAGATCTGTCTCTGTCACTGTCGGGGAGGTCCCTGAGGAGGGACCATCATTCCCAGGATGAGGGAAATACCCTTTGGGAAGGAGCCGCCGCAGGACCCCCCAGGCCAGGCTTAACTGCAGCTGAGTCAAATTCGGTCCTCGCCTGCCCCGCGCTGGGGACCGGCCCAGCAGCTGCCACAGCAGCACCTGTAGCCCCCAGACCCCACTGGCCCCGGCCCCTGGGGACGAGCAAGCGCTACGGACACCGCGGGTGACAGGGCAGGAGCCGGGACCTGCGCCCATCCCGCGGCCCCTTCCCGCCTCCGTCGCCACCGTCTCTCGGCAGGCGCTGGAGCTGGCCGAGCACTTCGGCCCCGACGACATCCGCCGGATCGCGCTGGCCCTGGCCTACCAGAACCGGCGCTCCGTGCCGCTGCTGCGCGCCCTCTCCTACCACCTGCTCCAGAAGCACTCGGAGCTCGGCCTCCCCGTCCTCATGGACCTCCTCTTTGCCTACGGTACGTGGTGGCCTCGCTTGTCACCTGCCTCGTGACCCCTTCTGGTTCTCCAGCCTCTCTTGCCGTGCAGTGTTTTGTGTGGCACTGCTCTCCTGCCTTGCTGTTGGAAACCAGCAGAAATCCCGGGAAAAACTGGTGAAGAAGGGAGTAGAGCCCCTGGGGAGCCTTTCTGTGCGGGTTAGAGGTTCAACCCCTTGTTTGGCTTCTGAGAGCAGGACCAACTCTTTCCATTAGGGCATTTTGGGGTTAGCTGTGCCCTAAAAAGAACGGGATAACCCCAGCAGACCTGGCCTCGGAGGGACTCTCGCTGGTGTCATTAGGCTGAATATTGCTGTTCATTATTCGGGAATACGTTCCGAGGAAAAGCGGTGGATTTTCCACATCGGCGCATGCAGAGCCGGGCTGGGTGTCATCCCTGCAGTGATTTCAGACCCGATCTCAGCCCGTCCGGGGGTTGTGCCCGGGGCTGCTGAGCTCCATCCTGGGCTCACATCCCAGACCGCGTCCCAGGCCGCTCCGCCACGGCGGCTCTGCCCTTCCCGCCCCGCGCCAGCTCCGTGTAAGTGGCCGCCGCTTCTCTTTTGCCCCTTTAAGGAAAACTGAATTTCCACCAGCCCCAGGTCTTCCAGAAGATTGCCGGCGAGCTGCAGCCCCACGTGGCCACCATGACGCCGCTCGAGGTGACGCGCTGCGTCAGGTCCTTCGCCCTCCTCAAGTGGCTCAACCTGCCCCTCTTTGAGGCCATCGCGCAGGTGAGGAGAACTGGATTGGGTCAAGGAGGTGCCACCGGTGTCCCCCTCTCCAGAGGTGGCTTTTGCCTCCTTGTCACCGGTCTCCCTGGGCTTGGCACTGCTCACACCGCTAAAATCAAGAGGCTCTCTGGGTTTTGGGGACCCGTTTCAGCTGCCCTTGCTCTCCCCTGGCTCCTGCAGGACCTAGGGAAGGAGCTAGAGCAGATGTAGGTCTGAGCTACCTAAGCTCTGCATCTGCTCACAGCTTGTCCTGGCACCGGGATAAAGCCCAGGGAGGCCCAAGAGGCCCTTTTCCTTGTGTGCTCCCGTCCTGCCGTGGGGCTGGGCGCCTTCTTCCCTTGGCCTTGTCGACCTTTTCCCGTCTGTGCCCGTTTTGAAGGGATGTGAGCCCCGGATTCTGTGGCTTTTGCCTTCCAGTACACCCTGGACAACTGCAAGGAGGTGTCAGTGCCCCAGCTGTGCAGCATCGTCGTGTCCTTCGCCCGCCTCAACTTCCAGCCCAGCGCAAACGAGGACTTCTTCAGCATGGTAACCCCCCTCCTCCTCCTCTCTCCTCCCTCCCAGTGCCGTGCAAAACGGGAGTGCTGGAGATCCCGGGGCAGCTGGAAAGAGCCGGGATGGGCGATGGGAACAGGACCCGCACGCCCGTGGCGGAAGCAGTTCGTGCACGGCCAGCTTGGGAGTCACCTCAGCTCTTTGCGTGCACGGAGCTGGGGGTGGAGGGTGTTTCCGTGCCCTCCTGGACCCTAATTGCGCTCGTTAACTCCTGTGACGAGGCCACAGGTTGGCAGCCCAGCCCTGCCGAGCTGCACTCCCAGCGTAGCCGAATTCCCGGAAGGATGGAGGCCGTTCCGGGCGCCTGTGCTCGCTCTGTCCGGCCTGGGGACTCGCCGCAACGTCTGCGCATCCCAGCGGGATCGCGGGAAGCAGCGGCATCTCCTCCCATCCTTGCCTGCTTGGCACGGAGTGTAGAAATGCCTGGGATTCCTGACCCCCAGGGAACGGCCCCACTGCGCCAGGATGCCGTGCAGCACGGAGCGGTCCCATAGTGTCCCTCCCCTTGGCAGCTGCTTCCCACGGGTATCCTTGGAGCAGGGAACACGTCCCCATGGGCGGAAGGTCACTTCCCCAGCCCACACGAAGGCAGCAGCTCCCTCAGGCGCTTTGGGAGAAGGGGGTCCCCGCAGGTCCCCAAATGGTTTGGGCTGTTGCCAAACAGTCCGTGCCGTCCCCACGGGTCCCCAAACGGTCCGTGCCGTCCCCACGGGTCCCCAAACGCTCCGTGCCGTCCCCGCGGGTCCCCGAACGGTCCGTGCCGTCCCCGCGGGTCCCCAAACGGTCCGTGCCGTCCCTGTGGGTCCCCAAACGGTCCGTGCCATCCCCGCAGGTGCACGAGAGGCTGCAGGGGCAGCTGGCGAGCGTGGAGGCGCCGCTGCTCGTGGCCGTGGTGTGGGCGCTGTGCGTGCTGCAGCAGGCCGGCGCTCCCTACCTGCGGCACGTGCTGGCGCCCGCCTTCCACGCGCGCCTGCCAGGTGGGTGCTCCCCGTGGGCTCCCCCATCCCCAGGACCTCCCCGTCCCTCGGGAACGCATCCCTAGGGCTGCCTGTGTCCCGCCGCCAGGCGACTCGTCCCCCAAGGCGCAGAGCCTGCGGCTCAAGCTGATCCAGATCAACGCGGCCGCCAGGCTGGAGAGCCCGGGCTACGTGGGGCCCTTCCTGCCCGCGGAGCTGCTGGGCGCCCAGGGCGCGGGCGCCGAGAAGGCGACGCCGCTGCAGAGCGGCCTCCGCGAGGCCCTGGCCGGGCTGCTGGCCGGCGGGGACAGCGGCCGCTTCGACGTTCCCACCGTCTACGGCTGGAATATCGGTGAATATCGGGCTGGGGAGCCCGGAATCGCGCCCTCCTCCCTCGGCGGCCTCGTGTCCGTCGGGATCCGCTCTGGTTTTCCTCGGCTCCTCCGCAGCCCCGTCAAATTCGGTGCCCGCCCGCGCCGTGGCGGGGACCGGCCAGCCGGCTGCCACAGCAACGCCGTAGTCCATGGGCCTCGCGTGCCCCTTCCCGTGGGACGCCGGGGATAAAACTGTGCCACGGACACGCGGCGCGCCCGCAGTGCCGGAGGGAGGGACGCGGGAAGGCGCCGGGAAGCGGGATGGGGCCGGCGCGCGCAGGTCACCAGAGCGCCCGCTGTCCTCGCGCCCGCGCAGATGCCGAGATGCTGCTGGACGGGGAGAACCGGCCGCTGCCCCTCCAGGGCTTCGTGGCTCCCCATCTGCTGCGCTCCGAGGGGACGGCCCCGCTGCCGCCGGGCGCCAGGAGGTGGGTCCGGGGTGGCCGGGAGGGTTTGGGGGGTGGCCGGAGCCCCACGGCCACCGCGTCCCCGTCCCCGCAGGGTGGCCTTCCTGCGCTGGGAGTTCCCCAGCTTCAGCAACAGGAGCAAGGAGCTGCTGGGCCGCTGCGCCATGGCGCGGCGCCACGTCCAGGCCGCCGGCTTCCTCGTCGTCGACGTGAGTAGCCGGGATGGAGCAGGGCTGGAGCCAAGCGGCTTCGGGGATCGGGAAGCGCTGGCACCTGCCCCACTTCCCAATCCCAGGCTGGGCCCCGCCGGGATTAGCCGCTGTGATCCGGTGCGGGCCTCCTGCGGCCCGGCCTCCCAACGGGGTCACAGGCGGTTTAGCTGCCCCAGGGTAATAATAGCGCCCGCGCAGAGCCGGGCTTAGCCCGTTCCCGTGCGGAGCGGCATTCCGGGGCCGATCCTGCTGCGGCCGAGCATGGAGCCGGGCGGCGCCGCTTGCGTCACCTCCCCAGGGCCGGGGGGGCGAAGCCGGGGATCAGCGAGCCGCTGCGTCCCCCGGCTGGAGCCGTGGCTCCCGCTGGATAAACACCGAGGCCGGGCGGTGGGATCCGTGCATCCCGCGGCTCCGGAGCTGGCGGGATGCGCAGGGCATGCCGGCTGAGGCTCCCACTCCGCAGGTGCCCTACTACGAGTTCCTGGAGCTGAAGTCGGAGCGGCAGCGCGCGGCCTTCCTCAAGGACAAGCTGCACAAGGCCGTGGCCGCGGAGCTGGCGGGGTGACGCGGCCGCTGCGCCCCCAATAAAGCGCCCGCCGCCCCGTGACACCCGTGTCCCTCTCCTTGGGTCTGGGGGGGGCGATGGGATGGGGGGGACACTCGGACCCGCTGGCCTCGGCGCATCCGTGTGCTGTCCGTGCTGAGTCAGCGGCCCTGCCGGCTGCTGAGTCACCGTCCTGGCGCTGCAGCGTCCAGCGCCTCGTCCCAGCGCCTCATCCCGGGATGCGGCTGCTCCGCCAGCGCCCAGGGCTGACCGGCCCCTCGGGGGGACCCGCGGGCTCCGTCCTGTCCTGTGCCCGGTTCCCTGCGTCCGTCTGTGCTTCCATGAGTCCAGGCATCCGTCTGTCCATCCGTGTGGCCCCTGACCCCCCGCTCCAGGCCCTTGGGCTGTATCCCGGGATCCGCCTGTCCCGGTCCGGGTGTCCATCCCTCCCCGGGGTGTCCGTCCATCTGTCCCTGCATCCCCACACCTGCCCGTCCATCCATCCAGGACCCCCGCCCTCCTCCCCCCACCCCGCAGGGGGGGTGCAACCAGCCCCCTCCCCTCCCGTTGCCAAGGGTAACCAGCCCCATCCTCCTCGTGGTCGCCAAGGCAACC